GAAGAAGAAGAAGAAGAAAGAAAGAATAGGAAGAAGAAATAAATAAATAAAATTTGTTGCTTACCTGGCGATGGCGGCAATCAAGGATCAAGGCGGCAACGAGAAGCATGGTGCTGATGACGTGGCACGGCGGCGATGGTCTCGACGACGACGATGTCATGGCACAGCGGCGACGGAGGTCTTGATGACTGCGGTGATGACGTGGCATGGCACTGAAGGTCACGGCGACGAAGGGGGAGCGAATCGCTCCGATACCAGTGTAACGAGCGTGAGGCTGAGGGTGAGCCGAGGGAGAGGAGAGAGAGGGAGAGAGKGAGAGCACACACACACACTCACTCACTCGACACGACTGACTCGGACTGAGGATCGGACGCCGATACAGTGGCAAGTCACGAAGTCGAAGTCTTGGATTCCGAATGCCGAAACAGCAAGTCACACTGAGTACGAGTACAGCAGCAGAGAACTGGTACGAGACTGGTCCCGTACCGTACGGGGAGCCGGTATAAGTACCGGTGACACGTACGGTACCAGGGGCATTTCTGCAAAGGCCCCGAGGGCAGAACTGAAAAATGCAGTATTTGAAAGTGGCGCCACGGTACCAAAGGAGGAGTTTGGAAAAAGGGCGCCAGGCCGAAAGCTGAAACAGCAAAAAGATAGACCAGGGATCGAGCCCTGGCAAAGTCCGTAACACACATTGCACATACAAATCTGTGTGTGTGTGTGTGTGTGTGTGTGTGTGTGTGTGTGTGTGTGTGTGTGTGTGTGTGTGTGTCTGTCTCTTTGTGTGTGTGTGCGTGGTTCATCGTGCTTCACTGTCACAGAAGGTTGCACAGCACTGGTCACAGAGTTTTAAACGTGCATTTCCCTGCATGACCCTGCATGTGTATAGGGAACCATTTCTTCTGATTCTCAAAGTGGCACATGCGTTTTTGGAGCCATCTCATGTTTGGTTTGATGATTTGAAATGTGAAGGGTTAGGCTTTGCAAGAGTCGATAAGCAGGAGGTTGTTTTGGGCTTGTTCATCTATTGCAGACACATTTGTTCCTCAGCAAAGGCGAATCATCATCACGGCTAGCAGTCACTGCAGAGGCTGAGAAGATTGTACGGCATGTGCGGCACCTGGCAGTTTTGGTTCTGATTGATGCGATCGATTTGGATAGCCTTCTGGTAGCCGTTTCGAAGGGTATTCCTTTCAGGTGCGCTGGGCAAAAACCTACAGTCTTTTCCTGAGAGTGATTTGTTGCTACTAGATGACCTCGTGCAGCTTCACTTGAACAAAATATGAAGGGTGGTGAATCTCTCTCTTTCTCTCTCTTTTTCTCTCTTTCTCTCTTTCTTTCTCTTTCTGTCTGTTTCTCTCTCTCCATGCAGGGATGCTCGAGGAACAGAATCACCCCCAGTGTGTTTCATCCTCCCTCTCCCTCATCCCCACCACTCTCTCTCCTCCGTTTTACTATTGAAATTTTCATCCCACTGGTTGCGTCTGTACAGATCTTTTATTCCTAGAGGCTAGAAGGTTTTTAGAATGAGAGCTCCTCGGCAGAAGTTACCTCCCCTCCTCCCTCTCTCTCCTTCATCCTTCCGTGATACTTCTCCCCGTCTGATTACACTAATCCCTCTCCTGTTGCAACTCTGTTGCTCCTCTCCCTGCTCCCATGCCCACGACTTCCTAGCAGAGCTCTTCCCCCCTTCCCCCCGCCCCCCTCTTCCCTCTGTCTGCTATCACGACTTCATCCCCCTTGCTCACTTCACATGGCAATTACTTTTCCATCTGTCATGACTCTTTTCCCTGTTCCTCCGCTGCATCCCCCCCGCCCCTTTCCCCTACCATAACCGGTTCCCCCCGTATGCTTCCTCTTTACCCTCTTATCGCAGCACCTTCCGCCTTCCACTCCTTTCCCATTCCAACTAGCTTCCCCTTTTCCTCCTATCGTCATTACTCTCCTGCTGCTGCAACTCTTCCCCCCATTTCTCCTCTTTTCCTCTCCTATTCCCCCCCCCCCCCCTCCTTTGCCTCCTGTCGCAACTACTCTCCCTCCTGTCGCAACTACTCTCCCTCCTGTCGCGACTCTTTCCCTCCCTCCTCCGTTTCCCATGTTATCGCCATATATCCCCCTCCTGTTGTTACTCCATCCGTTTTCTTCGCTCCTCTCACTGCATGCTTGCGCAACTACTACTCCCCTTTTCCCTCTTCCCATCCCCCCCCCCTATCATGCCTGCGTACCCCCTTTCCACCTTCCCCATCTATCCCAACTCTTTCGCCCCTTACCGAGCTCCCCCCTTGCCCCTCCCATTGAAATTTTTTGCTCCCCCTCTGCCTCTTGCTGTGAATCTTTTCGCCTTTTGCCCCGCCGTCCTCTTCTTCTTCCCCTATTGCAACTTTCTCCCTTTTATTGCAATCTTGTGCAGCCTTATCGGGATTCCTCACCTTCCTCAGACAGATTCCCCCCTCTCCCCTTCCCTTGCAATGCAAGCAGAGCTACCCTTCCTTGACTTAATAATCCACTCTGTCTGTAATTCCTCAATTTTGGTGGTTTAATAATCCACTCTGTCTGTAATTCCTCAATTTGAAGCTCCGTTCTTACTTAGGATAACTTTTTTTTTTTTTCCAAATTTTTGACCATTTCTCGATTGATGCGTGTCATCCTTGCGCAGGGGCCATGCTAATCTTCTCTGTATCTTTCCAATTTTAACGGATCTCCCGAAGGACTGGATGACATATTTCCAAGCCACCGTTTTGGTAGTGTTACGATCCTGGCCAATTTCGAAGTATACATTCATCTGAAAGTACAATGCTGTCCAATTGCAAAAAGAAATGAATGAACTTGAGAGGAGAGAGAGGGAAAGAAGAAGATGATGTACTCCAGCATAGACCAAAGATAATGCTCTTCCTCTTCGCCAACCACTCTCCTCCCCTCTTATTCAAACAAGAAATAACAATAATAATGTTGAATGGCCGAACCAGAATCAATGTCCGAATCCCACTTCTACTGCAGGCACAACATGAGGTCCACCATAGCCATGGCCACCCTTCTTCTTCCTCTTCATGTAGGCCGAGGCTATGGTGGACTACTGAGGGCTCAACCCTCCTGTCCAAAGGACAACCCAAAGCAGCTATGTCGCTGCCTTCCTGTGCAAAGGACAACGCAAAGCAGCTATGCCGCTGCTCATTAGGCCGCCATGCCTGTCTCTGCCCCGAGCTTCCTTGGTGCGGCACTACCCCAACTGGGGCCTTCCAGATGCAGCACCTATCAAGGTGATGCAGATGTGTCCATCATAACCAGGTAGGTACCTCGCCCCTCTCCTCCTTGGTCCTCTTCTSCCTCCTCCTCCTACCGGTAGAGCTCCACCATAGCTAAGGTGGAAGCTCCCGGCTTCTTCCTCCCAGCAGCGCTCCTCCAGCCAGCGCTCCAGCAGCGTGTCGCCAAACTTGGACACTGAGGAATGAGGCCGGGCTCTTCCCTCGGCCTCTTGATATAGCGGCCTGCTTGCCTCCTGGGCGGTGACTTCCAGGCTTCTCGGCCTCCCAAGCAACCGGTACCTCCTCCCTTTTGGAGGGAAACACCATTGCAGACTCTGATATTGCCCGTACAGGCTCTAGACTCAGACTGGATGGACTGGTAGCGGCCTAGACCTAGCCTACTGCTACTGGGCATCAAAAAATGCCAACTTTGTCTTCTTCTGCTCGGCCTCGAGTACCCGGCACATCTACGGCTGCTGGGTGCGGTACCGGCTTACCTGCTACTTGAGTGTTTTTCCGCTGCTCTAAGTGCCGCGGGCCTCTGGCTCCGCTACTTGAGTGTTTTCCCTGCTGCAACCCTCAATATCGCGGCCAAAGGTAAGTACCGGCCCTACGGGCCTGCCAAACAACCAAGTACCCTTGCGGGTCACACACACACTCGTGCCGACAAGCACTCAGACAGGCACGGAGGTCAACAAGCACGCACACATACAGACTTAGAAAACTCAGCAGAATGCGGGAATCTCAGCAAGGCATCCATTCCATCGGCAGAACTTCAGAAATCAGCAGTGTTCTCGGTCTGTGTTATGGCGGGTCATTACAGTAGAATTAATTTTGGGGAATTGAAAATTTCCTGTCCAAGATTTTGGAGGAACTTCGCAGCCTTTCTTTTACATTTGGCTGGGTCCATGTACTAGTGGCAAGTTGGGCAATTCTCAATTTGGCTTAGAGTTGTGAATCTGAGCTCCATTTTGGGGAAGCATAGTGTAACCTCAAGAAGATTGAAGGGCTCTACCAAAAACTGATGTGTACATACTAGTCCATGCATTCAATTTGGCGGCTATCTTTGCTAGATTTCAGGTGCCGTTTAGTGGGAAGGAACCACGTCATTAACCGTTATGTGTAAGGACCTCAAGGGTTCTCTCCTGTTTTGCCAGATCATTCCCCCGGGGGTGGATGCTGGTGTTTCAACGCCCGGCTTGGGCAACCACCAACTTATCGTTTTATCCCAATTAGTTCGCATTTTCAGATGCCAGCTGAAGCATTTGCATTGCTCTAGTCATAGCCTGATACAAAAATCCAATGCCCCAATGAGAACTGTTAGATCGTCAGCAAAAAAGAACTGTGGTTAGGATGTGAATGATATATGCCCCTGTCGCCAACGGCCCAGCACCAAAAAAAAGAGGTAGGTGTACGCTTTCTGGCCTGACTCTATCAAGTGATTTGATCCAAGGGAACTCCGTTGTCCACGACGTCTCCACTGTCCATGATCTAGTCAACTGTTTGATGGGTGCTAAAGAATATTGCCTACCGTCTTTACCCAAATAGAACGCCCGGTAATTATGGCCGTATCTGGACTGAAATTTGCATCAAGTACAGCTATAATGACCGGGCGTTCTATTTGGGTGAAGACGGTAGCACAAGCAGAAACAATGTGCGGTCGTCACTTCAAGAGCAATGTTGGGGAATTGTTCCTTCAACTTAATGCTTTCCATGGGCTCTATGCTGTAGCCAATATATGCCATTTCTGGGGGCATATGGAAGGTCTCTTTGTCTCCGTGAGATTGTACCGGAGGATAACACTCAGGACCATGCTGTCCAATCTTTATCTTACACTACTTACCCTTCCTCATAGAGGAGCCTTCATATCTGATACTACTTACCACGTCTTATGTGGCAACCCTGTGTCCCTGATCCGCAACCCTAACCTGTGTTCAGACCGGAATCCTGTGTCCCCTCCTTGAGGAGCTACGTCTCTTAGAGGTACTCCGGAATACAAGCCCCACTGGAATGTCAATGGTGAGCAAAATCTGACTCACGAGTACATGTTATGGTGAAGGACGTTGTGTGGATGTCTTCTTATCATGATTGTGGTCCGGATAAGAAGCTTAGCCATGCATAGGTACGTTGGGATTCTCATGTGTGGTCTTGCATTCTGTAATATGTGTTTGTGTGGTCACAACTACTTCAAAAACGTTCACTCATTATACATTTATTTAGCAACTGTCAGAGCTTAATGATAGCCTTGGCATTTTGTAGCTTTCTGCGCAGCCATACCGTCTATTTCCTGCTGAACCTACTGATGCTGCTGCTGCCAGCCATGTGGTGGATGTATTTGCAATGGTAAAATGATTGGTGGATGTAATTGCATCTTCTGTAGGAAACGTAGGAGAGTGCTATTTTGTGGTGGTTGTAGAGGCTAGCCATAGAGAATGGTTGTGCTGGTTAGTGTGACTGGATGGGTGCATGTAAGCTGATGTGTGGGATGCAATATACTTGGCAAGATTTCTGTGCTAAATGTAGTACTGACTCCAAATGTGTGGTTCCCCCGCAGAGAAAAGTTCCACCCATTTTCTGAGGAGGAGTTGACCGAGGTGCACAAGCTGATGGAAGACCTTGACCCTATGAGCTCTGAGGATCATGCATTTCTGTTGATGGCGTGGGCAGTGGTGCTTTGCCTATTTTCATCGCTGCCGGATGTATCGAGCTCCTCCGTTTCTGTAAGTGTGCCTTGTCTCTCCTCCGATGAACTCTGTTCGAATCTGCAAGGACACAAGGGTCAAAAGTCGCATCTGTAGTCTTAGAAGGGTCTGAGAAAAGCTATAGGGTCAACGGGCATAGCGTCCGGGGTCAAATGAGGCAGTCTAAGCCCCTACGTGAGACTGGACTCTTGGAAAATCTAGGGTAAGGCCAAACCCGGGAACTGAGAATCAGAGATTTGCCTGCGGTCAGCCGGAGCCATAATCAGATGCACAGTCAATGTCTGTCTGCATTTATTCCAGAAGATTCCAGGGCCTGCAGGGTCCAGGCACAACGAGGACGACAGCAAATCTGGGGCGCCCAGATCGAGAAACCTCCTTCGTCGGAGGAGGCAAACTGAGGGAGGCCAAGGTCGGCCAACACTATGAAAGAGCGGCCAGCCTCAGCAGCTGATACATTCTACCTCATGCTGCTACGTTGCACTCGCTACAGTGCATGGCTACAGTACACATGCTACATTGCACATCTACAGTGAAGCGCTACAGTGTGTACGTGGGGAGGAAGGAAGGAGAGAACCACCATAGCTAGAGTAGAGAGAGAGTGAGGAACAGGGTGATCAGGACTTGTGAGTGGAGGGAGCGAGCAAGTGCGAAGTTTACCTTGGCTTACCTGGGGGCTGGTGATATGGGGCTGCCACTGGTCACATCGGAGGTTGAAGAAGGCTAGCGCCAACCTCATAGCCGGCATTGATGCTGGAGGCTGGGCACCATAGCTGGTGCCTGCAAAGAGACTTCATCAGTGACGTCGGGAAGAGACTTGCATTGCTGAGGTGGCAAGGTGGTGGCAGAAGGTCCCGAAACCCATTGAATTGTTTTTTTGATTAATGAAACTTTCCACTTGTCTCTCTCTCCATTACTTCTCTACCTTTGTAATTTCTGGTGCCTCGCTGCTTATTCTGTGAACACATTGAGTGCTCCTGGGCTCATTCTGCATTGTGAGCTGTTTCATTTGAGTACATTGGGAATACTTGCATGCTCGACTTGTGAAGCTTCTCATAATTGGCGGGCTCATTGCAATTTCCTCTCTACCAGCATACGTTTGATCAAAGTGAGGAAATGAAGAGAACTTTGCAGTTGTTTCATGGCGTTCATGAAACCCGGTAAGTTGAACTGGGATGACAACCTGTATTCATGTGTCCTCCTAGACCGCTATGTCTAAGTTGCGAGCCTAGCGTAAACCTGGATGCTGTTATGTTCCGGGATATCTCACAATGCAAAGCTCGAAACGACAGAATGCTGTTCTATTGCAACTCAAATGAAAGAGATTGGGAATAGAAATCGAAGAGGGAAGAAGAAGAATGGAGAATGGAAGAAGAAGAAGAAGATGAACACAAGATGGAACCAATGTTACTCCTCCCTCACCTCGCCACCATCTCTCTTCCCCATTATCTCCGCCAAACATCTTCTTATCAATAACAATAAGCAACAACAATTACTGAATGAGCCAGAATCAGATGTCCGAATCTCCTCCTCACTTGACCATCTGGCTATGGCCCTAGCCAACACAAAGGACAAAGCAAAGCTCTTATGGCTCCACCCTTGCCAAGCCTACTTCACCAGTCGGAGTCCTACATACATCAGAACCCCAACCACGGGCCTTCTAGGTGCATCACCACCCAAGGAGATGAAGATGCAGTCCACCATAGCGCAAATAGGCCTTCTCCTTCACTCTCCTCCTCCTCCTTTCTCCTCCGTCCTCCCTCACTTCTCCTCCATATCCATGCCCTTCTCTGACCTCACCTGGGCTCTGCGTACCATATCCGTGCCCTTCTCCGACCTCGCCTGGGCTCTGCATACCATAGCCAGGGTGGGTGGCAGCTCCACCTTGCTCCTGCGGCTTGAGGCTTCACTCCCCAAGCTCACGGTCCACCTGCATTGCTGCCTGGTTACCCGAAGAATGATGTCGAGCAACTCACCGCCTCTCTTGGCTGCTGCCCTCGCTCCCCTGTGACTTTCCAACCAGCAAAGTCTCTAGGCCCTACCTGTTCCCTTCGTTTTTGGCGGGAACATCATTGCAGTCCCATATCCTAACGGCAGGCCCTACGCTTAGACACTTTCAGGTCAGTACCTACCGGAACCTACCCCTAGAGCTACTGAGCCTCACGGCACTACCTCGGCCTATCCAGAGATACTCAAAGCAGGATGCTATCGGTTGCACAGCCCCAGATTAAAAAAAATACTGGCCCGTAGATCCCGACATCTGGCTTTGGCTGCAGAAAAATCTTTTACGATGTGGAGTGGTGATTAGGACGGGACAAACACACTGACACACACACACACACACAGAAAGTGAGAGAGAGAGAGAGAGAGAGAGAGAGAGAGAGAGAGAGAGAGAGAGAGAGAGAGAGAGAG